GCTGTGCTGCCCCATATGAGCTGTGCTGCCCCATATGAGCTGTGCTGACCCATGAGCCGTGCTGCCCCATGTGAGCTGTGCTGCCCCATATGAGCTGTGCTGCCCCATATGAGCTGTGCCACCCCATATGAGCTGTGCTGACCCATGAGCTGTGCTGCCCCATATGAGCTATACTGCCCCATATGAGCTGTGCTGCCCCATATGAGCTGTGCTGCCCTGTATGAGCTGTGCTGTCCCATATGAGCTGTGCTGCCCCATATGAGCTATACTGCCCCATATGAGCTGTGCTGCCCCATATGAGCTGTGCTGTCCCATATGAGCTGTGCTGCCACATATGAGCTGTGCTGCCCCATACGAGCTGTGCTGCCCCATATGAGCTGTGCTGCCACATATGAGCTGTGCCGCCCCATATGAGCTGCGCTGCCCCATATGAGCTGTGCTGCCCTGTATGAGCCGTGCTGTCCCATATGAGCTGTGCTGCCACATATGAGCTGTGCTGCCCCATATGAATTGTGCTGTGCCATACGAGCCGTGCTGCCCCATATGAGCTGTGCTGCCCCATATGAGCTGTGCTGCCACATATGAGCTGTGCTGCCCCATACGAGCTGTGCTGTGCCATACGAGCCGTTCTGCCCCCGCACACAGGGGATCAGGTGTTCTCCTTCGACTTGGAGCTGCGGGTGACGAAGGAACGCCCCTGGTCAAAGCTGGGGCGGTGCGACGCGGCGCTGCGCTGGTTGGAGCGCTACTACTGCCTGCAGGGCACCCAGTTCCACCAGGTCAAACCCCACACTGGGGAGGTGCTCCCTGGGTACCCCCGTGATCTCCGGGACTACTTCATCCCCTGCCCCGGCAGAGGTGAGGCTCCCCTGGGGGTGTCCCAAGGGATCTGCAGCCTTGTGACAACCACGTGCTGGAGATGTATGGGGGAATGGCGTACCAGAGATGCACTTTGGGAACGCGCTCTGGACACCCACCCTGGGGAGTCATGTGCTGGGAACACAACCTGGGGCCCTGCTCTGGACACCCACCCTGGGGACCATCCTGCAGATTGACCCTTGGGATGTCAGCCCAGAGATCTGCATCCACATTACCCACTCTTGTGACCCACACCTTGGGGACCCCCTCCTGCAGAGCTCTGGGACCCAGCCCCAGGGTGTCCAAAGCACCCTGAGGCCCTCTCCATATAGTGGGGACCCCGCTGGCCATGTCAACATCCCCCATTCCCATCCCATCCCCACCCCCACCCCCACTACAATCCCCATCCCACCGCCATTCTCACCTCCATCCCATCCCATCCCATCCCATCCCATCCCATCCCATCCCATCCCATTCCCTGACCCCATGTCAGCACTGCCTCCACCCTGCAGGTCACAGACACAGGAACACCTCATGGGGTGATGCTGGTGACCGCTGCAGTGGGCAGCCCTTCCAGGCCATCACCTCTGATGACAGTGGCCGCATCTACGCCTTCCGTGGTGAGGGGCACGGGGGTCTTTGAGGGGCCGTGGGCTGTGGGCCGTGGTGCTGATGTGTCCTGCAGATGGGCTGTCATTCCGGCTGGACTCCTGGAAGGATGGGTGGCACGCGTGGCCGCAGGCACACAGCTGGCCGGGCCTGCAGGGTGACGTGGACGCCGCCTTCTCCTGGGATAAGCGCATGTATCTGATTCAGGTGGGCCCCCCTTGGGGACGGTGCCGCCTGGGGACATCGCCTGGCACCAGGCTTTCGAGGTGCCACTGCCAGGAGAAAGGCAGCGGGTGGCAGCACAGTGGTGTCCCTGTGTGGCTGTGCTTCTCCTGGCCTGTCTGCTTCCCTGGTGCCTCCAACCCACGCTGGCACTGGCCCCATCCATGGGCAGCCCCACAGACCTGACTGTTCTTGATATCCTGTCCCCACCCATCCCCATCCCATACCCACACCCTGGGGACCCCCTCCTGCAGAGCTCTGAGACCCAGCCCCAGGGTATCCAAGGCACCCTGAGGACCTTTCCATACAGTGGAGACCACACAGGCCGTGTCAACATCCCCCACCCCATCCCATCCCCACACCCACTCCCACCCCCACTCCAATCCCCATCCCACCCCCATCCCCATCCCATCCCATCCCATCCCATCTCATCCCCATCCCCATCCCCATCCCCATCCCCATCCCCATCCCATGCCCACCTGCTGCCTGCCCCACATCCCTGTGCCCACCCACTCCCACAAATGCCTGCACCCATCCACACCAGTCCCTGTCCCCGTGCCCATCCCACCCAGTCCCACTCCACCCTATGCCCACTGATGCCCACCCACTCTCCACAGGGCTCGCAGGTCTCCATCTACCTCTCGGGTAGAGGTGGCCACCAGCAGGTCGAGGGCTACCCACGGGCTCTGCAGGACGAGCTGGGGGTCCCCGAGGCAGATGCTGCCTTTACCTGCCCCGGATCCGCAGAGCTCTACATCATCACAGGTGGGCAGTGGATGTGTGGGGCTGGGTGGGGGGTGGCATTGGGGTCCCCGCGGCTCCGGGTGACAGCGCTGTGTCCACAGGGGACCGTGTGTGGCGTGTGGACTTGACGCAGAGCCCACGGCGTGCGGATGAGCCGCAGCCTCTGCCCCACGATGGCGTGGACGGGGCCATGTGCACAGCCGATGGCATCTACCTGCTGCGTGGGGGCAGCTACCATCTCTACAGGGACGTGGCTGAGCTGCTGGCTGCCCGCCTGCCCGCAGCCCCCCGCAGCATCGCTGCCCATCTGTTCCACTGCGCACAGTGAGCGCAGCCCCCACCCCACAGGGTGCAATAAAGGCTATGGAGCCCCTGCCTCTGTGTGTGCCTCAGTGTGGGGGGCAGGACGGGGGTCAGCGCAGCTGGGCTGTGCTGTGCTGTATTGGATCCTATTGGGCTGTACTGGGCTCTATTGGGCTCTATTGGGCTGTGCTGGGCTGTGCTAGGCTTTATTGGGCTGTACTGGGCTGTGCTGGGCTGTACTGGGCTGTGCTGGGCTGTGCTGGGCTCTATTGGGCTGTACTGGGCTGTGCTGGGCTGTGCTGGGCTGTGCTGGGCTGTACTGGGCTCTATTGGGCTGTACTGGGCTGTGCTGGGCTGTGCTGGGCCGTGTGCGTTCAGACTGGCTATGGGAAACGATTTCCGTCCCAGCAGCGGCTGTGCGCAGCATTGCCGTGCCGTGCCGTGCCGAGCGGCGCTGCTCAGTGCCGCCCTCCGCTGTTCGGTGCCGGGCCGAACCGGGCCGAGCTGCCGCTGTGGTGCCATCCCGGCTCCCTCCGTGCCGCAGCGCTCCATGCCGTGCCGTTCTGTGCCATGCCGTGCCATTCCTGCCATTCTGTGCCATTCCGTGCCATGCCGTGCTGTCTATATGCCATGCCGTGCCGTGCCGTTCTGCACTATCCCGTGCTGTGCCGTGCCATACCACGTCATGCCGTGCCGTGCCATTCCGCACCATTCTGTGCCATTCTGTGCCGTTCCATCCCGTGCCATTCCGCACCATTCTGTGGCATTCCGTGCCATTCTGTGCCGTTCCATTCCGTGCCATTCCGCGCCGTTCCGCGCCGTGCCGCCCCGCAGCATCTCACTCGGTGACACTCCGCACCGCTCCGCCCCGCACTCGGAAGCGGAAGCCGATCCCCCCCGCACCCCCCCGGCAGCGGAGCCGCCGCAGGTACCGGAGGGGCCGGACCGGGGCCGCTCCCCCCCTCCCCCCCCGTTCCCCGGGGCCGCCCCGCGGGGCCGTGCGGGGGGTGGGGGGGTGACGCAGTGCGGGGAGGCGATGCGGGGAGCGGGGATGCGAAGGGGGGCAGTGCGGGGGGGGTCACCCTCTGCCCCGCTGCCCCCCGTAGGCCCGATGGGTGCGGAGCTGCCGGCGCCGCGGGGGCTGTAGGAGCCGCAGCGCGGAGGTGAGAGCCGGGCGGTGCGGGGTTTTGGGGGGGGCGGTGCGGGCCGGGGGCGCCCCCCGCTGATCCCAGCCCCCCCCCCCCCCCCCCGCCCCCCCCCCCCCCCCCCCCCCCCCCAGGCCCCACCATGTCGGGGTCGCTGAGCAAACGCAGCGATGTGGCCAACGATAACAGCTGCGTGGGGCCGGCGGGGCTGAGCCTGGCGTTGCGCGGCCCCCCCGAGGCGCTGCCCCCCCCCCCGAGGAGCCCCCGAGCACCAAATGGCTGAAGGACGGGCAGAACCTGCAGCGCCGAGCGGCCGAACGCGATCAGAACCGCAACGAAGTGCGGCCGCCCCCCGAGCAATCGGAGCTGAGCGCCCGCAACGCCCGCAACGCCGCCGCGGGGGGAGCGCCGCTGATCGAGGACGAGGAGGAGGAGGACGAGGAAGAAGAGGACGAGGATGAGGACGGCGATTCCACGCCGGTGCAGAGCGATCCGACCACGGGGGAGTCGGAGCCCAGCGGGGAACGAGCGCTGCGGGAGCCGGGCCGTAGCGCCAGCCGCCTCTTCGGGCCCCGCAGCGGCACGGCCAGCGATGAAGACTCCAGCTGGGCCACGCTCAGCCAGGGCAGCCCGGCCGGCAGCTCTCCCGACGATGCAGGTGGGCCCCGCGCTCCCCTCCAGCTCCCCCTGCTGCATCTTGCAGCCTCCGGCCCCACGTGCTGCCCCATAACCCCATCCGCTGCCCCACGTCCCGATGCTGTGGGGCAATGGCTTTAAAGTGAGACAGGGGAGGTTTGGGTTGGATGTGAGGAGGAAGTTTTGGAGGCAGAGGGTGGTGAGGCACTGGCACAGGTTGCCCAAGGAGGCTGTGGATGCCCCATCCCTGCAGGCATTCAAGGCCAGGCTGGATGTGGCTCTGGGCAGCCTGGGCTGCTGGTTGGCGACCTGCACACAGCAGGGGTTGGAGCTGGATGAGTGCTGTGCTCCTTTGCAGCCCAGGCCATGCTGTCATTCTGTGATTCCATGACTGTGTGATGCTCTGCCCTGCAGCCTGCAGGAGCTGCTCCTGATGCTCTGCCCCCCAAACCCGTACGCAGTTCCACAGCTCTGGGCTCAATGCTCTGCCCTGTGACCCCAGCCCTGATGCTCAGTCCTCTGACCCCCCCCCCCCTCCTCAGGCCTGATGCTTTGCCCCGCCAGCCCTGGCTCCTGTGTACCACCCTGCCCTGCTGTGCCCATCCCAGACCCTGGCCTGCATGGCCTCATCTCCCTGCCCCAGCCCCACTGTGACCTGTGCTCCCCCCAGCACAGCATTGCCCCCTAGGCCCTGCCTGGTTTGTATCCCCTGTTCTGCATTGCTCTGGCCGTGCTGTGCACCCAGAGCCTCATCTGTGCTGTGTCCCCATGCTGTCCCCACTCACATCATTCCTGCTGTGCCCTCGCTGTCCCCCGGCGCCCTTCCCTGCTGTGACCCACCTCTGCAGCCCCGTCCCCATTTCTCTGTCCCCATAGCCCCATCCCAGCCCCCCCCATTTGCACATCCCATCTCCTCTTGGTGCGTCCCCTGGCGATGCCGTCAGCGGTTGCCTGGAAACAGCAGGGCTGGGGTGGGCAGGTGAGGGATGGAGTTGGACCAGGATGGGGATGGATGGGACCAGGATGGACCGGGATGGGGATGGGGTGGGGTGGAGTGGGATGGGGCCACCCCACAGCCCCCAGGACCCCTCACGATGAGGGGCTGTGGTCTGGCTGTGCCCTTTCCTTTCCTCATGCAGCAGGGCCCTGTGCCCTGCCTGGCTTGGCGGGGACTCATAGCCTCCCCCCTTCCCCCCAGATTCCTTCTGGACCCGCAACTCCTTTGAGACAGACTCAGACCTGCCTGCGGGATGGATGCGGGTGCAGGACACCTCGGGCACCTATTATTGGCACATCCCCACTGGCACCACGCAGTGGGAGCCACCAGCAGGGCTGGCGCGTGGCTCAGGGGGCAGCACCCCCTGCGAGGAGCAGTCGGTGAGTGGGGGGCCAGTGGGGGGCGAGAGGGGGTTGAGTGGGGGGCTGCCCCATGGCACAGCGTGGAACTGAGCTGCCCGCTCTGCCTGCAGCTTGCCTGGACTGGCTTTGCCCCAGCTGAGCGCTTTGATGATAGCGACTTCTGGAAGGTGAGTGGCTGCCTGGGGGAGGGGGGGAGGTCACTGTGCCCAGCCCTGATATCCCCTCTGCTCCCCCAGGACCCTGTAGCTGAGGAGGAGGCAGACGGTGAGCCTGGAACACGGGATGTGGAGCCGCTGGCACCGGACCCGGCCTCGCTGGGCGGCAGGTGGGGGCTGCAGGGGCCAAGCTGGGGCAGCCTGGTGCTTGGGGTGATGCCAGGAGCAGCCGGTGGCACGTGGTGACGGCTCCCCTCACTCTTGCAGCATGACTCCGGCCGAAGAGGACGAGCCTGGCTCTAAGGTAGGTGGTGGTGGTGGGGGCCGAGCGCTGCCCTCACCTGGCGGGGGGCTCCTGCCCAGCTCCCCCTGCCCCAGCATCAGGGGCTCAGCACTGCCAGTGCTGTGTGGGGCTGTGGGGGCCGGGCCGTGCCCACCCTGCTGTGCCCCGCAGAGCTTCGCCGTGCGCTCGCTGGGCTGGGTGGAGATGAGCGAGGAGGAGTTGGCGCCCGGCAGGAGCAGCGTTGCTGTCAACAACTGCATCCGCCAGCTGTCCCTGCACCAGCACGACGCGCCCGGCGCCTGGGGAGGGGTGAGCACCCCCCACACATCCCATATCCCCGGCCCACGCCGCCCACGGCCCACACCTCTCCTTAGCCTGATGTTGCCCTCCCAGGGCCGGGCCATGCTGCTGCTCCTGCAGAGCCAGACGTTGAAGCTGGTGGACCCGCAGGACCAGAGCCTGCTGCACGCACAGCCCGTGGCCAGCATCCGTGTCTGGGGTGTGGGGCGCGACAGCGGCAGGTGGGGGCGGGGGGACTCGTGGTGGGGACGGCGCGTCTGGGGCTGTGTGGGATCTTCTGGGCATGTGGAAGGGGCCCCCGCAGCCTGCGTGAGCTCTGCTGAGGGGCACATAGGGGTGCCTGAGTGCAGGGGCTGGGCATTGCATGGGACCTGGGGTGGGTCTGTGCACCTGGGGGGCTGGGGGGGAGTCCTGTGCGTGCGGAGTGCTGGGAGCTGGTGCATCTGTTTGCACGTGGGGTGCAGGGAGTTGGGGGTCCCATGCGTGTGGGATGTGGGAGATCCATGTGCTTGCTGGGGGGTCCTGTGCATTGAGGGTGCAGAGTCCTGGGGTGGGTGGGAGCCTCGTGGGCTGGGTGCCGGGCTTCGTGCTTTGGGGTGGCGGCGCGCCTGGCCTCGCTGACTCTGTTCTCTGGCTCTCTCCTGCTGCTCTGGCTGGGCACCCAGGGAGAGGTAGGGCAGCACCACAACCGCAGCCCCTGCCCGCATCGTGCCGCGCTGGGGGCTCGGCGGTGGGCGGGGGTGTGGGGCCCTGGGGTCTGGTGGGGGGGGGGGGGCCCGAGTGTAGGCAGCCCTTCCCTGCAGGGACTTTGCCTACGTGGCGCGGGACCAGCTGACGCAGATGCTCAAGTGCCACGTCTTCCGCTGCGAGGCCCCTGCCAAGGACATCGCCACCAGCCTGCACGAGGTCTGCTCCCAGGTGAGCCCCAACCTGCTGCCCCTACTGTGGGGATGGAGGTTGGGGCTGCAGTGTGATGGGCTCACGGGGCCACGGCCCCCTGCTCCCCCCAGATCATGGTGGAACGGCGAAGTGCCCGGGCGCTGGCTAACGGCCTCTCCGTGGACGCCTCCAGGATGGTGGAGATCCCCTTCCAGGGTGCGGTGCGGCGGGGGCCTGGGGGGCTCAGGGCGGGCGGGTACGCGGGGCAGAGCCGTGGGGCGGGCTGGATGGGGGCCGCTGGGAACGGGAGGAGGGGTGGGGGTCGGATCATGCACGCGGTGACTTTGTGCCGTGCCCGCAGTGGAGTTCCCGGCGCCCAAAAGTGAGGTGGTGCAGAAGTTCCCCGTCTGCTACCTGGGCTGCGTCCCCGTCGCCAAACCCGTGGGTGAGCCGTGGGGCGAGGCGGAGGCAGGGTTGGGGTGTCCCGAAGGTGCACGCGGGGTGGGGAGCCGGGTCCTCCTGCACCCCCGAGCCCCCCTTGTGCCCGTCCCCAGGCATGGACGTCATCAACGCGGCGCTGGAGGCGGCGTTGGCCACCAGCAGCAAAGAGCACTGGACGCCCATTGTGGTCAACGTGGCGCCCGCCACCCTCACCATCACCCACGAGCAGGTGCGGCGGCCGCGTCCCCGTCCCCGCTGCCGTCCCCGTCCCCGTGCCGTCCCCAATCCCGCTGCTGTGCCTGCAGACAGAGGCGGTGCTGTGCGAATGCCGCGTGCGGTTCCTCTCGTTCATGGGTGTGGGCAGAGACGTGCGCTCCTTCGCTTTCATCATGGCCAGCGCGCCCGGCGCGTTCCGCTGCCACATGGTGTGGTGTGAGCCCAACGCGGCGGGGCTGAGCGAGGCCCTGCAGGCCGCTTGCATGGTGAGTTGCCCCCACCTGCCCCGCGCCCCCACCCGCCCCGCTCCTGCTCACCCGCTGCCCCCAGCTGCGCTACCAGAAGTGCTTGGACGCGCGGCCCCAGGCTTCCAGCTCCTGCCTGCCCGCGCCGCCCGCCGACTCGGTGGCACGCCGCGTGGGCTCCACCGTGCGCAAGGGCGTGCAGAGCCTGCTGGGCAGCCTGAAGCCCAAGCGCCTGGGGGCGCAGACGCCGTGATGGGACGGAGGCGATGGGAGCGCAGCCACCAGACCCCACCGCTGCCGGCAGGACGGCACCGGGACGGGGCGGCCGTGCCGGAGCCGCGTGCCCGCCGGGGCGCGCGTGTGTGTGTGTGTGAGTGTCTCCGGGCGGGCGGCGCGGCTGCATCCCATGCGCGGGTCCCGGTGCCGGGGGGGCGGCCGTGGGGCAGGGAGTCGGGCCGGAGTCCCGCCCTGCGCATGGGGCCGGGGCGGGGTGCTGCCCGCCTGATGCATGCGGTCTAACCTGCAGCGTGGGGACCCTCGGGGGCCACCCGGCTCCGAGCCGCCCCTCCTGCTGTAACAGAGATCTGTGTTGTACTAAATAATTAATAAACCCATTCCACCAGCCCGGCCTGCCCCTCTCCCCGCGGCACCGTGGGCCAGCAGCCGCGTCTCCACCGGCAGCCTTTATTACTCAGCCCAGGGGGCCCCTCCTACACCGAGGTTCACGAGGCGCCCACCCCCGTCTCCACGGGTCCCACAGAGCTCTCAGCAGAGCCGCCGCTGCCTCCAGAACTCCTGGATCTGTCGGAAGGGCCGCGTCGGGCGCAGTGGGCGGCACAGGTTGGGGTCGGCGGAGCGGCCGGTGCGCAAGGCGCAGAGCAGGGCCGCCTTGCAGGCCTCCAGGCACGGCTCGCGGGGAGGGTGGCCCTTGTGGAAGTGGTACCAGAAGCGCTGGAAGAGGCGCTCGTCGTCCTGGAAGCGGCGGATGAGCAGATCCCAGTCGCCGGGGAAGGCGCTGGCCATGCCGTATGCCTCGCGGGCGCCATACAGGCGCTGCCAGCGTGGCTCAGCGCCCGGCGCGTTGGCCTCGGTCAGGTTGAGGATGAAGGTCTCGTGGTCCAGCACGGCGTGTGAGCTGCCGGTGTAGGAACCGTCCACCTCGTACACGCGGTACCCTGGGGACACAGATCAGAGGTTGGGGCACCTCCAACGGAGAAGAGCCGAGAGCTGGGGGTGCGCAGCACCGTGAGAGGAAGGCTCTGCGGAGACCTCGCCGCGGCCCTCAGGATTTAAAGGGAGCTTATAAACAGGAGAGCAACTTTAAACGGGCAGATAATGAGAGAGGGGAAAGGCTTCAAACTAAAAGAGATGAGATCCAGGTCAGATGCGAGGAGGAAATTCCTTCCCCAGAGGCGGTGAGGTCCCGGCACTGCAGCCCAGAGTGTGGGCACCCCATCTCTGGAGGTGCCTGAGGCCACGGATGGGCCCTGGGCAGCCTGAGCTGGGGAGGCTGGGGGCTCTGGGACCCCTTCCGTCTCAACCATTCTGGACTTCTATGATCTTTAAGGATTTTAGCAACTCGAAGCACTCTCTGATCTATAAGGTCCCATCCAACCCACCGATTCTGTGGTGCTGTGAGGAACCCTTCCAACCCAACGGCCCTACGGCTCCATGGCAGTGTTTGGGGCTGTGGGGCCACCACCAGGAGGGGAGGCAGCAGCGTTGCACTGAGGGCTCACCGGGGTTGAGGTTGATGTAGGTGGTGACACTGGGAGCCACGAAAGCCACAGACACGGGGCGGCTCAGCGTCTCCTCATCGTAGAACATCTCAAACTCATCCACGTGCGTGTGCCCAAAGAACTGGGCAGCAATGGTGCCCTCAAACCTGCGTGCGGGGCGGTGCAATGAGCGTGGCTGTGCCACGCTGTCCCTGCTGCCATCCCCACCCCGGAGAGGCTGGCAGGCAGCCTGGTGCCCTCAGAGCTGACCTGTTGACGATGCGGTAGTAGTTCCAGCTCCAGCTCCGCAGGCAGTGCGCCGGGGGGATGTGGCCAATGATGTGCACCTGCGAGGGCAGTTGGGATGGTGCTGACAGTGGGCACGGGCCTTTGGGAACCCCCCATCCCGCAGACCCCCACCTTCTCTCCGTCACGCTCGGCAGCCTCCAGCACCCCCACGAGCCACTGCAGCTGCCCCGCAGGGTCGGTGGAGTTGATGAGCAGCCAGAAGTTGGCCTGGGAGCAGAAGTTCATATTGAGGGAAACGAGGCGCAGCCCCGGCCACACCTGTGCCGTGTAGAACCCAGCAGCTCTGGAGGGAATGAAGGGTCAGAGAATCATAGAACAGTGAAGGCTGGAAAAGCCCTCCAACATCTCCAGGTCCAACCCCAGCCCACCACACCGCGTTCCTCAGTGCCACCTCCCTGCAGCGCTGGAATGCCTCCAGGGCCGGTGAGCCCAGCACCTCCCTGCACAGCCTGTTCCACTTGGACCAGATTAGCTCGTAGGTCCTTCCCAACCTTGTGACTCTATGATTCCGTGGCTCTTTGAAGAAGAACTTCTCCCTAATTTCCAACCTGAACCTCCCCTGCTGCAGTTTGAGACCATCACCCCTCACCCCATCACACGGTCAGCAGTGCGGTCAGCACCGACCGTGGGGCCGCACCGAGCCCCCCAGCGCCCAGCCGGCACCCACCGGAGGGTCTTCAGCGCCGCGGGGGGCAGCCAGTCCTGCCAGGCCTCGGCCATGGCATCGTAGAGCCACGCAGCCGACTGGTTGCCGCTCACGTAGGGCGGAGGGAAGGCGTTGACGGGGGTGGCCTCGTGGTTGCCCACAGCCGGGAAGACGCGCAGCGCTCCCAGCTGGCGGCGCAGCAGCGCGCTGACGGTGCGCAACGCCAGCAGCTGATCCTCGCGGCGCTGCTGCCACACGTCGTGAGCCGGGATGTCACCCGTCCAATATGCGGCAGCGAACGGCCCCGCCTGGCGCAGCCCGGCCAGCAGAGAGGCGATGGTGCGCAGCGGAAGGTCGCATTTCCCGTATTCGCCCCAAAAACCGGCACCGCCCGAACCGGGCAGCGCGGAGCCGCGGCAGCACAGCGGGTCGGGGCAGGACGGCTCACTGCCCGCCTCGTAGCGCCGGTCCCAATGCATGTCGGTGAGGAAGAGAACGCGGGCGGTGGGCGCGCCGGGCGGTGGGGGCCGCGGGGGCCGCACCGGGGGTTTGGGGGCGGCGGGCAGGGAGACGTTCCAGGAGCCCAGGATGTCCCAGCGGCCGCAGCGCGGGCCCAGCAGCAGCCCGCACGCCTCGGTCGGCCGCAGCACGGAGCGAGCCCAGGCGGCCACCACGTCGCGCTGGAAAAGCTGCACCGCCTGCTGGCAGATCTCGGCCCGCGCCAGGCGCAGCTCCCGGCACAGCCCTGCGGCCACGCGCCCCACACGCACCACGTTGGGCTCCAGCTGTGGGGAGTGGAGTGCGGGGCTGTGGGACCGGCAGCGGCTGCCCCTTCTCTTCCCTTCCCTCTTCCCTCTTCCCTCCCCCTCCTCCTGTTCCCTTCCCTTCCCTTGTCATTCCCTTCCCCTTCCTTCCCCTCTCCCTCCTGTTCCCTTCCCTTCCCCTCCCCTTCCCATCCCCTTCTTCTTCCCCTTCCCCCCTCTTCCCTTCTCCTTTTCCTCCCCCTCCTGTTCCCTTCCCATCCCTTCCCTCCCCATTCCCTTCTGTTTCCCCTCCTCCTGCCATCCCCTTCTTCTTCCCTTCCTCTGCTGTTCCCTTCCCCATTCCCTTCTTTTCCCATCCCCTTCCCCTCCCCACCCCCTTCCGTTTTTCATGTCCTTCTCTCCCCGTTTCCCTTTATCACTTCCCTTCCCCCTTCACCACCCGCTCCATCCCCCTCCACGTCCCCGCCCGCCCCGTCCCGTGACCCCACACATGTCACGACCCGTCCCGTCCCCGCGGTGCCGTCACGAGATCCGCCCCATCCCCGTCCCAGCCGCGCTGACCCCATTCCCGTTCTCCTCCTCGGCCCCGTCCCTTTGCCCTCTCGTCCCCGTTCCCGATCCCGCGCCCTCCCGTCCTTCCCCACTCCCTCCGTCCCGTCCCGCCGATCCCGGACCTGCAGCGCGAGATCGAGCGCCCCGAACAGCAGCCGGCAGCCGGGGCACGTCAGGTTCCGCCACCCCCAGCTCGGCCCCGCGGCCTCCAGCAGCGCGGCCCCGGGCGGCGGCTCCGCCGACACCGATAGCGATAGCGACACCGCCGTCAGCACCGCCAAAGCAGCGCCCAGCCGGAGCGGCCGCCCCGCCGCCAAACCCGAGCGCACAGCCCGCGCCGCCATGGCCGCGGGACGGCAGCGGGGGGGCGGGGCCACGGGGGGCGGGGCCAACGGCGGGGCGGGGCCATTGAGCACGTGGGCGGGTGGAGAGCGGCCTCCGAGTAAACAGCGCCCGGGGTGCGACGGGAGGGCGAGAGGCATTTTGGGAGATGGAGTCCCGTGGTGCATTGTGGGAGATTGAGTCCCGTGGTGCATTGTGGGAGATGGAGTCCAGTGGTGCATTCTGGGGTACTGAGTCCTGTGGCGCATTATGGGAGATAATGGGAGTCCCGTGGTGCATTCTGGGATAACAGCGCCCGGGGTGCGACTGGAGGGCGAGGGGCATTGTGGGATATTGAGTCATGTGGTGCATTCTGGGAGATGGAGTCCCGTGGTGAATTCTGGGATATTGAGTCATGTGGTGCATTCTGGGAGATGGAGTCCCGTAGTGCATTCTGGGATATTGAGTCCCATGGTGCATTCTGGGATATAGAGTCCTGTGGGCGTTCCTGGAGAGACAGGCTGTGGGAGAGGAACTGCTGGCGGCAGGCTGTGGGAAATGGAGTCCCATACAAAATGATGGGAGGTGGAGATCCACTGGGCATTATGAGAGGTCAGAGGGGGAGTTGTGCCGGGGCCGTGTGAGAGATGGGGTCCTGCTGGCCATTGTGGGAGTGGGAGTCCCGCTGGTAATTTTGGGATGGAGAATCTCGTTTGGGGACTGAGGGACATGGAGTCCCATTGTGCATTTTGGAGATGGAGTCTTGTTGGGGGATTCAGAGAGATGGAGTTCCGCTGGGCGCTATGGGAAGTGGGATCATAGAATCATGGAATCCTCAGAGCTGGAAGGGACTTTTAAGGGTCGTGTGGTCCAACTGCCCTGCACTGCACAGGGATGCACAGCTCCATCAGGTTGCCCAGGGCCTGACCCAGCCTCCCCTGCAAAGTCTCCAGGGATGCAGCATCCAGCCCAACTCTGGGCAGCCTGTTCAGTGCTCACCACCCTCACTGTAACAGACTTTTTCCTTACATCCAACCTAAATCTCCTGTTGTGGAGCTTGAAGCCATTTCCCCTTGTTCTGCCAGCAGACCCTGCTCAGGAGCCTGTCCCCTTCTCTCCTGTTGCTCCCCTTCAGATGCTGACAGGCTGCTCTCAGCTCACCTCGCAGCCTCCCCTTCCCTTCTCCATCTGCGCAGCCCCAGCTCCCAGCTGTCCTCGCAGGAGAGCTGTTCCATCCCTGGATGGTTTTCGTGGCCCTCCTCTGGATGCTCTCCAACAGCTCCACGTCTCTCCTGCACTCCGCATCTGGACGCAGGGCTCCAGGTGAGGCCTCACGGCGCAGAGCAGAGGAGGATCACCTCCCCGACCTGCTGGTTGCTCTTGTTTTGCTGCAGCCCAGGATGCAGTCGGCTTTCTGGGCTGTGAGGGCACAGTGCTGGCTCACGCCCAGCTTCCATCCATCAGCACCCCCAGGTCTTTTTCAGCAGGGCTGCACTCAATCCTTTCATCCCCCGGCTTGTATCGCTAACGGGGGTTGCCTTGACCCAGGTGCAGACCTTGCACTTGGATTTGTTGAACCTGACGAGGTTCAGCTGGCCCCAGTGCTCAGCCTGTCTGTGTCCCCCTGGATGGCATCCCGTCCCCCTGCTGTGTCACTGCACCCCGCAGCTCGGGGCCATCAGCAAACTGCTGAGGGTGCACCCGACCCCACTGCTGACCTTAGGGAAATATGGTTGGGTTGAGGTTGGACTTGATGATCTTTAGGGTCTTTTCCAACCTGAGCAATTCTATGATTCTGTGATGTCATTGATGAAGATATTAAAGGCTGTCGGTCCCAGCACCGACCCCTGGGGGTCACCACTCATCACAGATCTCCATGGATCCATCTGGAGTCCCATTTGGTCAAGATCAGGCATGGAGTCGTGTTGGGACCCTATGGGAGGATGGAGTCCTATTAGTCATTGAGGGAGGGGGAGTCCCATTGATCAGGTTAGGAGATGGAATCTCACTGGGGCGCTGTGGAAGATGGAATCCCAGTGGGGAACCCTGTTAGGGAGCCTACAAACAGCAGGGGAATTGACTCTGAGAAAGGGGAGATAACAGCAGGACAAAGGGAAATGGTTTGGAGTTGAGGGAGGGCAGATGGAGGTTGGATGTCAGGGGGAAGTTGTTTAGAGAGAGAGTGGTGAGGTGCTGGAACAGCTGCCCAGAGAGGCTGTGATGCCCCGTGCATCCCTGGAGGTGTTCAAGGCCAGGTTGGATGGGGCCCTGGGCAGCCTGGGCTGCTGTGAAATGGGGAGGTTGGTGGCCCTGCATTGGTGGGGGGTTGGAGCTTCGTGATCCTTGAGCTCCCTTCCAACCCGGGCCGTTCTGTGATGCTGTGACTGTGGGAAATGGAGTTCTGCCGGTCACGGTGGGCAATGGAGACCCGCTGGGGAATTGTGGGAGATGGAGTCCTATAGGGCTCGGTGTGGGACGAGTCCCACTGGGCACTGCGAGAGATGCAGCCCCGTTCGTAGGGGAGAAGGCTGCAAAAAGCACTGCGGGACGCGGATCGCATCGGGGCGATGCAGGATTTGGAGCCCTGCTGGGGCGGTGCGGGATGCGGATCCCATCGGGGCGCTGAGAACATGCTCGAGTGCCGAGCGCGGTTGCGTTAAGCGCAGACGTGAGCGTGTGTCCGCAGCGCTGTGCTGCCGCGCCGCGGCTGTGTGCGCCCCGAGCGGGCACTGCCGTGCCAACCCGCACAGCTGCGCGTATCTGCGGTCAGCGCTGTGCGCTGCGGAGCTGACTGTGCCCGCCGGGGGAGACCGCGGCACCGCTCGTGGCTCCGGGAGCGACCCAACCGCGCCGCTCCGTGCCGGTCCGGTCCCTGCTGTGCGGGACTCGATGCCGGCGCGGGGCAGAAGAAGCGCAGCTGGCGGCACCGGACCAAGGCTTTATTGCGGCCGGAGCGGTGAAACCGGGGAGCGGCATTTCCCTCTCGCCACCCCACCTCTGGCCCAGCCCCACGGCCCCCCACGGGAAGGGTGAAGGCAGTGCGAAGCCGCCGCCGGCCCCGTCCCCGCCTCCCGTGCCCGTCTCGCATCTCCTCGCCTCCCCACGCACGGGCACCACGGCACGGAGCCCACGGGCACCGCGTGCGGGGCGGCACCGGGGCGCAGAGGAGGCAGGGATCCGGGGGACGACCGCGGGGCCGCGCCGGGGCACGAGCGAATTGTCGCCGGGGGGCGGCGCGGGGTCGGGCGGGTTCAGGGGGGGCCGAGGCTGCTGACGGTGGTGTAGCTGAACTTGGAGAGCGACGCGTTGGCGTTGGCCACGTCCTCGTCGGGCGCGCGGCGCGGGCAGGAGCGGCGGCAGCCGGCGCAGGTGCCCAGGAAGGCGGCGCGGAAGCGGCGGTTCATGAAGCAGTAGATGAGCGGGTTGGCGCAGGCCGAGGTGTAGGACAGCAGGTGGATGAAGGAGATGGGCGTTCCCGAGAGCGCGCGCTGCGCCGCCCGCGGAGCGAAGGCACGCCACGTGTTGGCCGCGAAGATGGGCAGCCAGCAGAGGAAGAACATGGCCACGATGACCACCAGCATGCGGATCACGCGCCGCTTGGCCACCAGCTTCGCCTCCGAGCTGTTGATGCGCGCCCGCTCCTGCTGCGCCCCCGCCGCTCCCAGCGCCCGCAGCTCCAGCGCAGCGCCCGGCCGGGAGAGCTGCAGGTAGCAGCCGTCACCCTCGTCACAGGCGGGCAGTGGGTCTGTGCTGCGCTGGGCTGCGGGCAGGAGAGGCGCGGTCATGGATGCGGCGCCATCGGGACCCAGGTGGCACCGGGCAGCGCCACCTGGGGGGTGGCATCGGCACAGAGCGGTGCGGCCTCCACCAACACGGTGCGGATACCAGAAAGGGCCTTGGCAAAGGGACCTGGCACGGTGCTCAGCCCCGCCGCTCGCCCTGGGATGAAGGCGCTGATCAGAGCCGCGTGGCTCCTCATTCCCCAGAGCCTCACCTGCTGCTTCCCCCTTGATGTCCAGCTCAAAGCGGATCCCTCGGTACAGCTCGCGGGAGATGAGCCCGTAAGCCACGATCATCACCACGCCCGGAATGAAGAAGAGGACGAGGAGCAGCAGGACGTACCTGGAATTCCAGCGCCCGTGGCTCGGCAGCCCTTGCCCCCCCCCGCGCCGTGCGTTGCCCCCCACTCACCATGCCTGCCTCACGTGCTCGCTGGGCCAGGCGTGAGTGCACTGGCTGAGGGGCGGGCGGGCGCCGGGCACGGGCAGCAGCCGCGTGGTGCTGTACACAGCGTAGGGCAACATGAGCAGCGCTGAGAAGAGCCAGGTGCTGGCGATCACCCGGCAGGCGTGCGAGCGCGTCTGCCACACGCGGGACTGCAGCGGGTTGCAGATGGCGCTGTACCGCTCGATGGCGATGGCCACCAGGCTGAAGGTGGAGACCGAGACGGAGACGCCTGCGGGCAGCGAAGGGTGAGCGGCGGCGCGGCGCGGCGCGGCGCACGGCCCCCGACCCGCGTCGTACCCATCAGGTAGGCCATCAGCTTGCAGACGGCCTCTCCGAAGATGAAGGTGCCCATGAGATTGGGGATGAGGGTGAAGGGCATGCAGCAGAGCGCCAGCATCAGGTCGCTGAGCGCCAGGGACAGCAGGAAAGAGTTGGTGACGGTGCGCAGGCGGCGGTTGAGGAGCAGCACGGCCACCACCAGGGCGTTCCCGCAGACGCTCAGCACGAAGATCAGCGCGTACAGCAGGACGCGCACCGTCAGGTCCAGCTCTGCGGGTGCACGGTCACAGGCAGCGCAGCGCGCCCGGGAACGGCTCCGCGTGCCAGCCCTGCGCTGTGCCCGGGAGCTCCTGCGGCCGTCCCTGCGGCGCACGCGGTGCCAGGACGCGGTGCCACGCGGGCCGAGCTCCAGCACGGGGACAGCGGGCGGGCGGCGGGAACGCGGTGCTGCTGCTCCCCGAGGCCGAACCCTGCCTGTCCCGAGTCCCGCTCCTCCCTCGGACGCGCCCGCGGCCGCCGTCACCGGGAGCGGAGCGGTCCGGCGCGGGCATCACCCGGCGCTGCCATCCGCGTGCGCGGGCAGCGCGATGTGGCGCTGGAGCGGGGGGATCCCTGGGGTTCCCGGGCTTCCCTCCCGCCTCCGCTCGGGACGCTCGCTGCCCCCGCGCAGTCCGAGCCCACGCCGGGACCGCCGTGCGCTGAGCACCGGGCGATGCTGGGGACGCGGCGCACCGGGAGGGAGCGGCTCCTGTGCGGGGCCCCGCGGTGCGCCCCGTCCCGTCCCGTCGCGTCCCGTCCCGTCCCGCCCGCTCCGCTCTCACCTTTGGGCGCCGGCGGCCCCCGGAAGCCCCTGCGGAGGAGGTCGCAGGCGGAGCCGTTCCAGGTGGGGCCGGTCCCGGTGCCGTTGGCGGAGCCGCTACCGTTCCCGGGGCGGCAGAGCAGCTCCTGCAGGGACTCGTTCAGTCGCCTCGGGTCCATGGCGGAGCCCTCAGAGCCGCCCCGCGCCCATCGCGCCCTCCTCGGCAGCACCGAGGACGGCACCGGGGGGCTCCGCCAGGACCGCTCCGCTCCGCGCCGCCTCGCGCGTTTCGGAGCCACCGAGAGAGTGAGCGGGGGGCGGCGCCGGCGGAGGGGAGCGGGGCGGGGCGGGGCCGGGGGCGGCGGGGGGAGGTGGAGGGAGACCGGAGGGGGAGGGGGCGGCGGGGCCGGACCGGAGCCGGATCCGGAGCCGAGGTTCGAGGGACTCGAGGGGGTCTGAGCTTCCCGCCCCGCCGGAGCCCCCCGCCGCTCCCCGCAGCATTCCCCCGTGCCCGAGCAGCCGCCGCCCGCCGCTCCCCGCCGCTGTTTGCGCAGCCCCCCCATTCTGTTTGCTGCAGCTGGGCCGCTCCCAGCCGGGGCCGCGCCGGGGTCCCCCGGGGGTGCGAGGCCGCTCCCTCTGCTGCCGCGTCCGAGGCTGCGGGGATCCCGGCCTCACCCCGGTCCCTCCCGTTCCCAGAACCATCCCTGTCCTCGTCCCATCTCGTCCCTGTTCCCTTCCTCTCTCGTCCTCTCCCTTTCCCACCCTCTCGCTCATCCCCTTCCCCATCCCTGCCCCATCCTCACCCTGGGTCACCCGTGGTTCTCGCCCTTATTCCCGGCCCCATCCTTGTCTCGATTCCTCGTCCCGCCCCCCCCCCCCCCCGTCCCACCGGATCCCATCCCTGTTGCTGTCCCCATTCCCATTCGTGTCCCACACTTGTTCCAACCCCGTCTACACCCCTTCCTATACCTATCCCCATTCCTGTCCTATCTCTATCACTACCTCTGTCCTTGTTCTGAACCCATCCTTGTCCCTTCCCTTTCCTTCCCTGTACCCATTCCTATCCCATCTCCACCCTGGGCTGTCCTTCCCCTCTGTCCCCTTCCCCTCCCTATCCATGTCCTGCTCTTGTTCTTGCTCCCATCTCTGTCCCCTGCCGTTCCCTCCTTATCCTTATCCAAATCCTTGTTCCTGTTCCCCTCCCCATTTCTGTTCCAACACTGTTCATGCCCTCATCCCCATCCCTCTCACCTCCCACCCTGCCATTTTTGACCCTTCCTGTCCCACTCCCATCTCAGTCTGCCCCTGTGCCCCTTTCCCTATCACCATCCCATCCCTATCCCTGTCCCCATCTTCATCCCCATCCCATTCCCACCCCACTCTCACCAACACAGTCCCTGTTTCTGCTGTGCTGAGAGCCCCCAGTCCCCCCAGGCACAGCCCGGTGCCCCCCCTGCCCCACTCCTGCTCTGCATCCTGCCCCATCCCTGCATCTCCTATTGTAAGGGACAACGCCGTGCTCCTCGTTCACCAACAACCACTGCTGTTGCTTAGCAACTGTTGTTATTGCTACATAGCAACTATTGTCACCATCACCTAGCGGTTGTTGTCATGGTTACCTAGCAACTGTTGTCGTTGTTTCCTAGCAACGGCTGTCAAAAAGTACCGACTGTCACTGCTATTGCACGCTCAGCAGCGGGGCGAATCCCGGACCCTCAGCGCCAGCGGCCTCTGGGCTGTGTGCCCCGTGCCCCTGTGGGACCCCGACCCCTGGTGGGACCCCCTGCACCAGTGGGACCTCGTGCACCAGAAGGAGCCCATGTACCAATGGGACCTCGTGTGCCAATGGGACCCCCTACAGCAGTGGGACCCCGTGCCCTGGTGGGTCTGTGTGCCCCCCTGGGACCCGCTGTGCCAATGGGACCTCGTGCTGCGGTGGGACCCTGTGCCCCCCTGGGACTCTGGACGCTAATGGGACCCTGTGCCTTAGTGGGATTTTGTGCCCTGGTGGGTCGCCCCTCGGGCTCCCCTCCCCCTGCAGCACACTGCAGCCTGCTGGGACTCCTCTTGCTGCCCTTCCCCTGTCCCTGCCTTCCCCGCTGCTGCGCCCTGCTCTCCAGGCGCCCGATGCGCAGTGCCAGTTTGAGGGCACTGGACTCCAGCTGTGCCAGCAGCCGCGCCGCTCGTGTCTGCAGAGCCTCCAACGCCGCCTCCATCACCAGCGCTCGCTGCTCAGCCTCCTCCCGAGCTGCTGCCACCGCCGCCTCGGTGTGCACGTCCAGCTTGTCCATACGCAGCAGGATCTCACGGCCCTTGGCCTCCAGCAGCGCCCGGGCACTGGGGAATTCACTCAGTACCTCTGCCAGGTCCTCCTTGGCCAGGCAGAAGAGGTCTGCGTAGCCGATGCTGCGGATGTCAGCAGTGCGCCGGTTCCCTGAGCGGTTCCCTGAGGGCACATCGCTAAGGTTAGGATGGAGTGGTGGTGGCACATGAGGCAGGGATGGCACCAGGGCAGCACCACGACCAGCCGTGCTCACCAAAATGTGCCCTGGCTTCATCCTATGCTCAGGCTCTGCCAGCACCGGCGATACATGGGGGTGGGAGGGTGGCACAGGGACAGCAGGGGGGGGGATGCCATCGTGGGGATGGAACTGAGGGGATGGTGCTGAGGATATGGGATCATGGGGATGGCACTGAGGGGATGGTGCTGAGGATATGGGATCATGGGGATGGCATGGAGGGGATGGAACTGAAGGGTTGGCACTGTGGGGATGGCACCATGGGAATGGAACTGAGGGGATGGCATTGTGGGGATGGTACTATTGGGATGAACTGTGGGGATGGTACCGTTGGAATGGCAGTGAGGAGATGGCAATGAGGAGATGGCACTGTGGGGATGGCACTGTGGGGTTGGCAAGCTGGGGGCCCGGCAGGGGCTCACCGGGGATGTTGATGAGGCTGATCTCTCCGAAGTAGAGCCCCTCTCCCAGCACGGCGAGCTGCGTCACACCGTCAGCTCCCAGCACCTCCAGCCGCCCCTCCCGGATGAAATACATCTCACGGCCCACGTCTCCGCGCCGGCAGACAAACTCTCCAGGCCCGAAGACCTGAGGGCGCAGTCGCAGCACCAAGGCCTCCAACACGCCACGCTCACAGCTCTGGAACAGCCTCACCTTGCTCAGTGCTGGTAGATGCACACTGGCAGCCACCTCGGCACGCAGCCTCTCAGGCAGGTGCCGCAGCACCACGCGCTCCTCCGCCAGCTTGCGCTGCACACGCAGGTGCTCGTGCCACGCGGCCACGCGTCTCACCAGCCGCCCTGCCACGCCGTGAGCCCGCAAGAAGCGCCGCACCGGGCCGTGCTCCGGGTAGAAGGAAGCGTCGGCCGCGCTCATGTCGGCGATGACAGAGCTCATGCTGCCCATGATGGTGGCGAAGCCCAGCACGGCCAGCAGGAAGCCGGCCATCATGAAGAGGAACTCCTCCTCGCGGCACGGCTCCGGTGTGTCACCCACGGTGGTGAGGATGAGGGTGGAGATGTAGAAGCTGTGCAGGTATTGCCGCAGCGGGCGTGCGAAGCCGGGCTGGCTCCCGTTGGGGTGCACCCACGTATCAGAGCCCAGCCCCAGGTGCACGGACAGAGCGAAGTAGAGGCAGGCGTTCCAATGGATGGCCACCAGGACGTAGAGCATCAGCTTGGCGATGCGGAAGGCGTGGGGGTGAGCTGTGCGCGTCTCCCGGCGCTCGAAGGCCTCCAAGAGCCGCGGGGCACGCAGGCAGCGGTTGGAGCGCAGGGCTGAGCGCAGGCGCAGGCACAGCAGCTCGATGGGCAGCACTGAGGCCACGTCCCATAGGAAGCTGCTGGAGCGCAGGTAGCGGCGCCGGATGCGCTGCCGATCCAGCACCAGGATGCCCTCCTCCAGGAACCCTGCGGGCAGCACCTGGCTGGGGTTGCTCAGAAGGATGGGGGGGTCGGTGGCTGGCAGTGGGGATGGGAGTGGGGGGATCATGGGCTGGTGTGATGGGGGACTGAGTCATAGAATCAGAATGGCCTGCGTTGCACAGGAGCACAGTGCTCATCCAGCTCCAACCCCTGCTGTGTGCAGGTCGCCAACCAGCAGCCCAGGCTGCCCAGAGCCACATCCAGCCTGGCCTTGAATGCCTGCAGGGATGGGGCATCCACAGCCTCCTTGGGCAACCTGTGCCACTGCCTCACCACCCTCTGGCTCAAAAACTTCCTCCTCACATCCAACCCAAACCTCCCCTGTCTCACTTTAAAACCATTCCCCCTTGTCTTGTCACCATCCACCCTCACAAACAGCCGTTCCCCCTCCTTTTGCATGCTCCCTTCAAGTACAAACAGGAGGGGGAACAGCTGCTTACAGGGTGATTGTGACTGAAGGGGTTGAAGGGCTCTGATGTGATGCTGTGCCGTGAGGGGGAGGTGAGGGCAGAGGGGTCCTGAGTGCTGCATATTGCCATGGGGTGCTGGGGGGCCTTGGAAGGTGGGTCCCTCCCCCCGGCCCGGCAAGCCGTGCCTCCAGGCCATGTGTATCACGTTCAAAGCGTGTGCAGCTGTGCGGACACTGACCGGTGTTCAGACGCACGCTGATGTCCATCAGGTACAGCGCATCGCTGACACAATCCAGGCTCAGCCACAGCGCTGCGTGCCGCTCCTGCACCTCCGTGAAGCAGCACCTGGCCCAGCCGGCGGCGTCACCGGGCCGTTCCCTCCGCGCGTCCCACCTCCCCCAGCCCCGCGCCGCACCTGCAGATGATCACGACCCAATTGTACAGCACGGGCAGCACCATGGCGCTCAGCCACCGGTAGTAGCGCTCCCCGGAGGGGTCCAGGATGCGTCCCCGGGCTTCGGCGGTGCTGCGGGGTCGAGGAGGGAGCGGGGCGGTCGGGGCGCCGACACGGCACCGAGATGCTGCGCCCTTCCGCCCCACATCACATCGCCCCACATCGTGGCCGGGGAAAGGGGAGCCCGGCTCACCGCTGTCCGCGTCCGGTGTTGGAGTCCCAGCGGCGGGACAGCACCGCGCCGAGGCCGCGCATGGTGAGGCGGGGCTGGGGGGTCCCGCAGCCTCCCGCAGAGCGCGGCGTCGCGAGCGCGGCTGCGGGCGGCTCCTGGCAACGGGCGGTCCCCGGGGCCGCGGGGGCGGCGTGCGGGGG